ACCTGGCCAGAGATGGCACTAACCCTGCCTGCCATGGGCTGGGCCCTCCCAAGTCAATCATTAATCAAGAATATGCACCAGCTGGGCAGTGGTAGCGAGCGCCATTAATCCCAGGGTTTGGGAGGCAGAGGAAGCTGGATCTCTGAGTTCAAGGCCAGCCCGGTTTAAGGGGAAAAAGAAAACCGAACAGTGTAAGCAACCAGTAAACAGGAATTTGTGTGTGTGTGTGTGTGTGTGTGTGTGTGTCTGTATGTGTGTGTGTGGGTTTTTAAAGACAGGGCTTCTCTGTGTACCTTTGGCTGTCCTGAAACTCACTCTGTAGACCAGTGGGCCTTAAAAATCACAGAGATCTGCCTGCCTCTGCCTCCCAAGTGCTGGTATTAAAGGCATTTGCTACCATGCCCAGCTGGGAACATTCTCTTATAATGGACCTAATAGGTGTGTTGGCACAACACAAGCACTATAGCACATTCCTGCTGCCCCATAAGAACAAGATTAAGGGAGCTGGAGAGATGGCTCAGTGGTTATGAGCACTGGTTCCTCTTCCAGAGCACCTGGGTTCAATTCCTAGCACCCACTTGACAGTTTACAACTGTCTGTAGCTTCAGTTCCAAGGTGATCTGACATTCTCAAACAGCCATATATGCAGGCAGAATACCAATACCCATAAAATAAATCATTTTTTAAAATGTATTCTATTGTGCATTCAAACATTTCAAAGAGAGCATAATAACATACAGTATCAAGATTCTCTGTGTATTTTCCATCTATATGCGGCTTTATTTTAACCTCTAAATTCTCTGTACATCTTTGTCCTGGAATAACTCTGTAGACTAGGCTGTCCTTGCCTCCCCAGCTAGGATTAAAGGTGTGAATAACTCTGTAGATCCACCCGACTCTGCCTCCCCAGTGCTAGGATTAAAGGTGTGAGCTACCACACCTTGAACTCAGAGAGATCCATCTGTTTCTGCCTCCCAGGCATTGGGATTAAAGGTTCGTGCTACCGCACCTTGAAGTCACAGAGGTCAATCTACCTCCGCCTCCCAAGTGTTGGGATTAAAGGTGTGTACCACCACACCCAACTACTCTCTTTCTTTCTTTTTTTTTAATATTTATTGATTTATTATGTATACAATATTCTGTCTGTGTGTGTGTGTGAAGGCCAGAAGAGGGCACCAGACCTCATCACAGATGGTTGTGAGCCACCATGTGGTTGCTGGGAATTGAACTCAGGACCTTTGGAAGAGCAGGCAATGCTCTTAACCTCTGAGCCATCTCTCCAGCCCCCTCTTTCTTTCTTCTGTACTTTTAAGAACTTTAACCTGTAGCCTGCATATATTTTTAACACATTATTTAGAAGTTTTCTTCATCTTTGAATCTCTCTCTGCTGTATATCTCTCTTTCTGACTACATGGATCTTTTTGGAGAGGATTAAAGCCGTGACTTTGAGGGCTGGATCCAATCCTCTCCCTTAGCTTCCCAGCCTCATGGCAGAGGTACTGGCTGTAGCCATTTTTATTGCCACAACTGTGTGGTGGTTCAAGGTCCCTGACAGCGAGCAAGCTGCAGCATTCTGCTCACAGACCACACTCAGTCAGACTGTCTGCATGAAAAAAGAGTCACAGTTTGCCCTGGAAGGACAGCCCAGAAAGCCAGCATTTACAAACAGCACAGCTTTTTTTTGTGCTATGGCTGAAAACTAAAAAGCATGAGTCCAGTTTTTCATCGACACTATTTAAGTTTCTCTTGGCAGCATCCCTTAACAGAGCTGCAGGGTTTTGCAGCTGAAGCTGAGTCAGGAAACCTGTCTTAGATGAGAGGAACACATGCTTGCCTTTAGCAAGCAGAGCAGACCTGAGAAATTGCTGCTACCAAGAAAACATGTTTTACTCTATCCTTTTCCAAGCTTTCTCAAGCTTTCTGTGGAGTCAGTTATCCACATTCTCAGGCTCTCACATGATCCTTTCCCATCCTTTTCCACAGCCCGAACAAATCACTCTGGTACCCAAATGGGCTTGTCCGTTTCTGGAGGAAAAACACAAACAGCTCCTGTCACCCTAGCAAACAGGGGCGTGGGCTCCTTCCATTGTCCTGTAGGAAGTTCATTCCATCGTCCCCATCCTAAGGAATGAGAACTTTTATTTCAATGTCTCTCCATGGTTGAGTGAACCTCACGATCCACAGTTAAAAAATCACGGATGAATAAAATAGAAGCCAATTGTTTATTGGGAGAGAGAATAGAGAATATACTCCCAACTATTTATTTTTGTGGAATACTGTTTTATGACCATATGCACTCTTTCTACTATAGCTTGTCCAGCAGGCTTATATGGAATACCTGCCAGATGTTTAATATCATTACTTACACAGAAGGTTTGAAATTTTCCACTAGTCTATGCAGGACCATTATCTGTTTTAATAACGTTAGGTAAGCCCATATAAGCAAAGGCCAGCAGGCAATGAGCTGTCACATCCTTCATTTTCTCTCCACTATACAGCAAAGCAAAAACTACTTTAGAGCAAGTATCAACTGAAACATGCATATATTTCAGCTTTCCTGCTAATGGTAGATGGGTAACATCCATCTGCCAAATGTCATTCGGTCTAAGACCACGGGGATTAACTCCAGCCATGGGTGTGTTATGAAAAGGAGCACAGGCAGAACATTGGGAGATCATTTGGAAGGCAGTGGCTCTGGAGAAACCAGTATGGTCCTGCAAAGAACTTGCATTTCAGTGTATTTTTTATGGAGTTTAGAAGCCTTTACTTCGGGGCTGGCAAATAACATTCAGGTATATGTATCTGCAACTTGACTACCCTCGGTCAGAGGTCCAGGTAATTGAGTATGACCTCTCATATGACTCACAAAAATGGGATCCCGCCTCGACCATAAGAAATATTGTAGACAGCATAATTGTTGTTGTATTATCAGGACAGAGGGAAAATATGAGGAGCAGTTTCTAAAGGAGCAATCATTTGAGACAAGTAAATACTACCAGTATATAAATTAATTGACTCATCAGAAAACATTTGTAATGCTAGAATACAGGCTGTTATTTCAGCTGCTTCGACAGAGACATTGCCAACAGGTGTTTGGAATACTACATAGACCTTGAGAAACTAGCTTTTCTTCCAAAATTTCCTTTTGGAGAACCGTCTGTAAAAACTGTTCGAGCTCCCACCAGAGGCCTAGGTTTTACTATTTCTGGAAAGTACTATTCGAGGTTGAAGAGTCAGATACCACAGCCAATGAGAACGCTAAAGCCTGTGAAGTATGTCAGTAAGCCAGCCCAGGAAGTGACGTCAAGAAAACTGAGGCGCCTGACCTAATAAATTCTGAGAGGACCGAAGAACACTGCTTCTCAGGGCTCTGCATTAGAACTAGGAGCTGGGTCGTCTGTAATTTGAGGGGTTAGAGGTCCAGCCACGATGATGATTGAGGTGGTTTGCAATGACCGTCTGGGGAAGAAAGTCCGCGTCAAATGTAATACCAATGACACCATCGAGAACTTGAAAAAACTCATAGCAGCCCAAACTGGCACCCGGTGGACGAAGATAGTCCTGAAAAAATGGTATACGATATTTAAGGACCACGTGTCTCTGGGAGATTATGAAATCCATGATGGGATGAACCTGGAGCTTTATTACCAGTAGACGGGAATTCCTTCTCCTTGCCTACCCTGCCTTCCTCTCCCACCCTCATTTTGACACTGGTATAGATGCCCATTTTTAACATTCATGTGAATCAAAAGTTCAGTGCTGCTTTGTTACAGAAGCGAATACGTCAGAACGGAAAGTTCAAAAGAAATACTCCCCACCTGACTTCTACTCGTCAAAGATCCTGAAACTCAAGATGCCCAAGAACCGGGCAGCTTCATGCTTCAACTCTTCAAACTTCAACTCTGCTTCATGCTGATTTTTATGAAACTCTTTTCTGTGTCAAAGGCTTTTCCTGAGTGGAAGTCTCTGGACTCTGTGGCCCAGAGGATCAAGGGAACTAACTCCTCAAGTGCCTGTAGACAAGGAACAGTGAGTGTCTCCACCCCTTTACCCTTTACTGCTGATTACTTTATCTAGCCTGCAGCTGCAGAGTCTCTGATGCTATTGTAACTGCTCTCCTGAGAATTCTCTCTAGGATTACTGCAGGAGCCAATAGGGTATGTTCCTACTTATTTTTTATGGCTCAAATTGTCTTTAGAAAGCATGAATTGAATCTGCCCTCCTCTCTTCCAATGGCCCCTGGTTCCCACCTCATCTTTAAGTCAGTTAATGCCTTAGCAGTTAAGGCCAGTGTTTCAGGATGTATAGCTCAGGAATAGGCCTCTCATCAACAAAATTTGGGGACCTGGGTGTCACTCCCAGCTCTGAACCAGGCAAACAGAGACAAAACATAAAAAAAAAAATGGTCCTGGTATCACCCGCAGGTGCCATAGATTATGTGACCTCCCTTCCCGATTGGTTTCTTGCTTATTTCGTTTCTAATTACCCTAAAAAATGCTTTATGGGTTTGTAAGGATATTCATAATTTCTTTTCCTTTTAAAAGGTAAGATGAGCCAGGGGGAGGTGGCACACACCTTTAATCCCAGCACTTGGGAGGCAGAGGCAGGTGGATATCTGAGTTCGAGGCCAGCCTGGTCTACAAAAGCTAGTTCCACAACAAGCCTCCAAGATACAGAAAAACGCTGTCTCAAAAAAAACAAAACATAAAATTATTGTGATTATTTTAGGTATATATATATTTTGTTTTTGTTTGTGAGGGTGTCTTTTTTTTTTTTTTTTGGATATTCGAGACAGGGTTTCTCCGTAGCTTCTGGTTCCTGTCCTGGAACTAGCTCCTCTAACCAGGCTGGCCTCGAACTCACAAAGACCCACCTACCTTTGCCTGCCTAGTCCTGGGATTAAAGGCATGCGCCACGACCGCCCGCTGAGGATGTCTATATAAACGACAGGATTGCCCATGGAAGCCAAAAAAGGCATCAGATCCCCTGGAACTGGAATTTCATCTTTTGATAACCAACTGCCGTTTTTCACAGATGCTCGCCACCTCCAGCAAGGCCACATTCTCAAGCTCATCTTCCTCCTGCAGCTGGTGTCCCCGCTGTTCCTGCCACAGGCGGTGCTGCAGCAGCGTGGCCTCAAAGTCCACATGTGCCTGCCGCTGGTTCAAGTCCTTCAGCTCCTGCAGGTTTTCCAGCACCTCCATCTCCAGCATCGAGTCTTTGGTGCAGTTCTCTAGGACCTTCATGGGGTTGTTCAGCTCCTCATCCTCGCGCTCCTTCTGCACACGCTTTTCCTCCTCCTCCAGGAGCTTCTCGGCCTGGAAGCTGCTTGTGGCTCCATGCTCCACGGTGTAGTCCCTGTTCTCAGGGTCTGTCTTGAAGGTGATCTCGGCCAAGCAGTGCATGCAATTGATGTACAAGCAGAAGACAGGCAGGCCCAGGCAAGACTCCTTCTGGATGGTTTCCTTTCGCGTGTGTTGAACTTCTTCCCCCTGTAGATGTATTCTCCACACGTCTTGCACCTCATGTTGAAGGGGGCCATCATTCGAACCACGTACTGCCGGTCCTTGGGTCGCTTCAGTTTTGGGATCTTTGACGGGTCGAAGTCAGGTGGGGAGTATTTGTTTAGAACTTTCCGTTCTGACATATTCGCTTCAGGAACAAAGCAGCACTGAAGATTTGTTAAACGTGAATGTACAAAATGGGGATCAATACCAGTGTATAAATGAGGGTGGGAGAGGAAGGCAGGGTAGGCAAGGAGAAGGAATTCCCGTCTACTGGTAATAAAGCTCCAGGTTCATCCCATCATGGATTTCATAATCTCCCAGAGACACGTGGTCCTTAAAAATCGTGTACCATTTTTTCAGGACTATCTTCGTCCACCGGGTGCCAGTTTGGGCCGCTATGAGTTTTTTCAAGTCCCGGACGGTGTCATCGGTGTCACATTTGACGCGGACTTTCTTCCCCAGACGGTCATTGCAAACCACCTCAATCATCATCGTGGCTGGACCTCTAACCCCTCGAACATACAGAGGACACAGTTCCTAGTTCTAACGCCGAGCCCTGAGTAGCAGTGTTCTTCAGTCCCCTCGGAATTTATTAGGACAGGCGCCGCAATTTTCTTGACGTCACTTCCTGAGCTGGCTTACTGACATACTTCACAGGCTTTAGCGTTCTCATTGGCTGTGGTATCTGACTCTTCAACCTCGAATAGTACTTTCCAGGAATAGGAAAACCTAGGCCTCTGGTGGGAGACAGTTCTCCAAAAGGCAATGCTGTGGCAGTTTCTCCAGGTCTAGTATTCCAAACACCTGTTGGCAATTTCTCTGCCCAAGCAGCTGAAATAATAATAGCCTGTATTTTAGCATTACAAATGTTTCCTGATGAGTCAATTAATTTATATACTGATAGTATTTACTTGTCTCAAATGATTGCTCCTTTAGAAAGTGCTCCTTATATTTCTCCAGTGGCCTGATAATAACAATTATAACAATTGTTAACAAGTATGCTGTCTACAATATTTATTGTGGTCAGGCGGGATCCCATTTTTGTGAGTCATATTAGAGGTCATACTCAATTACCTGGACCACTAACCAAAGATAGTCAACTCGCAGATGCATATACCCGAATATTATTTGCCAGCCCCGAAGAAAAGGCTTCTAAACACCATACAAAATATCATTGAAATGCTCGTTCTTTGCAGCACCATACTGGTTTCTCCAGAGCCACTGCCTTAGAGATGACCCCCCAATGTTCTGCCTGTGCTCCTTTTCCTAACACACCCATGGCTGGAGTTAATCCTCGTGGTCTTAGAGCGAATGACATTTGGCAGACGGATGTTACCCACCTACCCTCAGCTGGAAAGCTGAAATACATGCATGTTTCAGTTGATACTTGCTCTTAAGTAGTTTTTCCTTCGCTGTATAGCAGAGAGAAAATAAAAAATGTGACAGCTCATTGCCTGCTGGCTTTTGCTTATATGGGCTTACCTAATGGTATTAAAACAGATAATGGTCCTGCGTAGACTAGTGGAAAATTTCAAACTTTTTGTGTAAATAATGATATTAAACATATTCCAGGTATTCCATATGCCCCTACTGGACAAGCTATAGTAGAAAGAATGCCTGTGGTCATAAAGGAGTATTTCACAAAAATAAATAGGGGGGAGTATATTCTCTTTCCCAATACACAACTGGCTTCTATTTTATTTATTCTAAATTTTTTAACTGTGTGTTGTGATGGTCACTAGGCCATGGAAAGACATTGGAATAAAAGTTCTCATTCCTTAGATGAGTACGATGGAAAGACCTTATTACAGGACAACCGAAGGAGCCCACACCCCTGTTGTCTAGGGTGAGAGGAACTGTTTGTGTTTTTCCTCCAGGAACGGACAAGCCCATTTGGGTACCAGAGCAATCTGTTTGGGCTGTGGAAAAGGATGGTAAAGGATCCTGTGATGAGCCTGAGAATGTGGATAACGGAGTCCACAGAAAGCTTGTATAAGCTTGGAAAAGAATAGAGTAAAGCATGTTTTCTTGGTAGCAGCAATTTCTCAGATCGGCTCTGCTTGCTAGAGGCAAGCATGTGTTCCTCTCATCTAAGAGAGGCATCCTGACTCAGCTTTAGCTGCAAAACTCTGTAGCTCTTTTAAGAGATCCTGCCACAAAATATTTAAAGGGTGTTGAGGAAAAGCTGAATGCATGCTTTTCAGTTTTTAGGCATAGCAGAAAAAAAGGCAGCGCCATTTGAAAATGCTGGCTTTCTGGGCTGTCCTTCCAGAGCAAACTCTGACTCATTTTTCAGGCAGGCAGTCTGACTGAGTGTTGTCTGTGAGCAGAATGCTGCAGGTTGCTTGCCCGCAGTGACCTTGACATTGGCATCGAGTTGTGGCAATAAAGATGGCTACAGGCAGTACCTCTGCCATGAGGCTGGGAAGCTAAGGAATGGGTTGGATCCAGCAGTTAAGTCACGGCTTTAATCCTCTCTAAAAAGTCTTATGGTGAGAAAGAGAGATGTACAATAAAGAGAGATTCAAAGATGAATAAACCCTCTAAATGTGTCAAAAAAATATGCAAACTAAAGGTTAAAGTTCTTAAAAGTAAAGAAGAAAGAAAGAGAGTAGTTGGGTGTGGTGTGACACACCTTTAATCCCAACACTTGGGAGGCAGAGGTAGATTGACCTCTGTGACTTCAAGGTGTGGTAGCCAGTACCTTTAATCCCAATGCCTGCAGGGTAGAGGCAGATGGATCTCAGTGAGTTCATGGACAGCTTGATCCACAGAGTTATTTCATTACAAAGATATACATATAACTTAGAGGTTAAAATAAAGCTGCATATAGATGGAAAATACACAGAGAATCTTGATATTGTATGCTATTATGCTCTCTTTGAATTGTTTGAATGCATATTTGAATACATTTTTAAAAAATTATTTTATGGGTATTGGTGTTCTGCCTGCATATATGGCTGTTTGAGAATGTCAGATCACCTTGGAACTGAAGCTACAGACAGTTGTAAACTATCAAGTGGGTGCTGGGAATTGAACCCAGGTGCTTTGGAAGAGGAACCAGTGCTCATAACCACTGAGCCATCTCTCCAGCTCCCTTAATCTTGTTCTTATGGGGCAGCAGGAATGTGCTATAGTGCTTGTGTTGTGCCAACACACCTATTAGGTCCATTATAAGAGAATGTTCCCAGCTGGGCATGGTAGCAAATGTCTTTAATACCAGCACTTGGGAGGCAGAGGCAGGCAGATCTCTACAGAGTGAGTTTCAAGACAGCCAAAGCTACACGGAGAAACCCTGTCTTGAAAAACCCCACACTCACACACACGCACAAATTCCTGTTTACTGGTTGTTTACACTGTTCGCTTTTCTTTTTCCCATTAAACCAGTCTGGCCTCGAACTCAGAGATCCAGCTTCCTCTGCCTCCCAAACCCTGGGATTAAAGGCCTTTGCCACCACTGCCCGGCTGGCGCATATTCTTCATTAATTTTTGACTTGGGAGGGCCCAGCCCATGGCAGGCAGGGTTGGTGCCATCCCTGATCAAATGGTCCTTTGTAGTATAAGAATGCAGGTTGAGCAGCCATGGGAACAAGCCAGTAAGCAGCAGTCCTCTGGGGCCTGTTACAACCCACACCTCCAGGTTCTGGCCTTGAGTTCTTGCCCTGACTTCCTTCAGTTGTGGACTGTGACTTAGAACTGTAAGCTAGAGTAAGCCTTTTCCTCCCCACGTTTCTTTTGGTGTTTATCACAACAATAAGAACCTAGGAAAGACAGGAGGGCAGAGCAGAGCTTGTGGGGCTTGGTTCTCCTGCTCAGTTCCTCAGGCTTGGTGGCAATGAACTTTAAGTGAGGATGACCTTGAACTCTTGATTCTCCTGCATCTACCCCCCAAATTCAACATTACACCGCCATACCCAGATCTTCATAACACATTTTTATGACCTGCTTACTCAGACCCAAAAAGAAAAGAAAACACAAGTCACTGTTTGGTACTTGGCTAGGACTGTTCAACTATTTTCTTTTTTTTTTTTTTTTTTTTTTTTTTTTTTTGGTTTTTCGACTCAGGGTTTCTCTGTGGTTTGGAAGCTTGTTCTGGAACTAGTTTTGTAGACCAGGCTGGTCTCGAAATCACAAAGATCGCCCTGCCTATGCCTCCCGAGTGCTGGGATTAAGGCATGTGCCACCACCGCCCGGCTTCCTCTTTTAATTTTAATTTGAAATAAAAAATGCCTTGAACCTCTTGATGAATCTGAAGGAGAGCAAATCTCTTTGTATCACTTGTAAAGTGGCACTCCTGACCGTTCCAGGGCACACTCTCCAGGTTTTTAAGAACCCTCTTTTGGGCTCTGTAGTAATGTATTTGCATTCCGCATTAGAGTCTTGCCCAATAATTTTTGTTTTTTTTGTTTTTTTTGTTTTTTTTGTTTTTCGAGACAGGGTTTCTCTGTGGTTTTAGAGCCTGTCCTGGAACTAGCTCTTGTAGACCAGGCTGGTCTCGAACTCACAGAGATCCGCCTGCCTCAGCCTCACAAGTGCTGGGATTAAAGGCGTGTGCCACCACCACCCGGCCCAATAATTCTTATATGTTTTCCCCTAGGGCTTGTGGTTTATGCAGTTTTCTCTCCCCTCATGGAACATGTTCAGCTTGTCTTTCCTCGGGTCCTCTCACAGACTCTGACCTCCCACCTTCCCCTCCCACTGTCCTAGAAGCAGCTGTCTAGACCCAGCAGCTGACATAGGGTGTCGCCCTGATCCTTAGGCTGTTGGCTGAGCTTGAGTGGCTGACAGCTGGCTCTGTGGGTACAGTGGTTACACTCTGCACACACCGCCCTGGGCCTCCTCCTTCTGACCCGAGCAACTGTTCCCAGTGACAGCCATGCCCCACCTGTCTGTTATAGTCACCCTTTCCAGCAACCTCTGCCTCCTTCGGTCCTATCTTCTCGTGTCTTACAGCGCTTCAGCATGTCCTGCCCAGCTGCCTGCTGTGGGCTTGGGATTGTCTGAGGTTACAGGTGGGAGACACCTCCACCTTGGAGTAACCACCATTCACTGCGCATCTACCCAGTTGCTCTGCTCATACACAGGCTCCGTTTAGGTAGCTGGTTGCAGATCTATCAATCCGAGCAGAAAACTATTGTGT